GAGTTCTGCATATTGTGTGGAAAATTTCTGAGAAGGCTTTCCAAATATTTATATTACCATATTCTTACTTGAATGCTTTGAATGACTACACCTGATTTCTGTGCCCAAGTCGTATCTGGTATTGCCTTTTAAACATCCTGAAATTCATTTTGTAAAAATAATAATAATAAAGACAGATTTCCAGATCTAAAACTATACCTGTTTAAGTATTAGTTGAGGAAACGTCCCTATTAAATTTTATCTTGAACATATGACAGGATATTGCATTTACTTAATCTTGGAAGCCATTTGAAGTTTGTGGAAGGATGGGAAGTATGTGGCCTTCCATATGTTGGGGCGCGATTCTGATTATACCTTACAACTTGTAGTGCTGTCTAACACTTATGGGGCTTTTAGTCCATTGGCAGCCCACGTTCCTCACCCTGTTATATTGTATGAAGATTTGCTTCCTTAGATTTATAGCACTGCTAATAAATCTACCTTAACCAATAGTGCATGGAGTTAAGCCGTTGGGCATTTTGCATGAATTACTGGTCTTCTGCTAATCTTTCTGCTATGTATTCAGTGATAAACTTAATCAACCTCAAAGACTACAAGAACTTTTAGTTACGACAAATTTAAATGACAGTACAAGTATTCACATTTCTCCTACTGAAGCCTGATTAGGTACTCCTTTTTTTAGAATGTGCTTTAGTAAAGCAGTGTAGAAACTGCAGGAAACATTAAGTGATTCTGTATGAATATTTTTGGATTACCATATTTGCAGTCGGTGCTCTGTCTGATCCCACAGACCCATAGACCCATGTCTGATCCCACAGCAAGCTGGCTTCAGAAAAGGCAAAAGCTGCACATCGCAAGTGTTGAACCTGACTCAGCACATAGAAGATGGCTTTGAAAGGCTGCAGATCACAGGGGCTGTCTTCATAGACTGTCAGCAGCCTATGATACTGTGGACCACCGCCTCCTCCTGAGAAAAATGTATAATATCACAAAGGACTATCACCTCACCCGCCTCATAGGAAACCTGCTACAAAACAGGAGCTTTTTTGTTGAGTTCCAGGGCCAGAGAAGCAGATGGCGGAAACAGAAGAACGGCCTGCCTCAGGGGAGCGTGCTTGCTCCATCCATGTTCAACATCTACACAAATGACCAGCCACTGCCAGAAGGGACAGAGAGTTTCATCTATGCTGATGATCGTGCCATTACTGCTCAAGCAGGGAGCTTTGAGATGGTAGAACAGAAGCTTTCCGAAGCTCTAGGTGCTCTTACTGCCTATTACAGGGAAAACCAGCTGATCCCCAACCCATCCAAAACATAGACATGTGCCTTTCATCTCAAGAACAGAGAAGCATCCCGAGCTCTGAAGATCACCTGGGAAGGAATCCCACTGGAGCATTGCAGCGCACCCAAATACCTAGGAGTCACTCTGGACCTTGTTCTTACCTACAAGAAGTGCTGCCTGAACATCAAGCAAAAAGTGGGTGCTAGAAACAATATCGTACGAAAGCTGACTGGCACAACCTGGGGATCACAACCAGATACAGTGAAGACATCTGCCTTTGCGCTGTGCTACACTGTTGCTGAGTATGCATGCCCAGTGTGGAACACATCTCACCACACTAAAACAGTGGATGTGGCTCTGAATGAGACATGCCGCATTATCACGGGGTGTCTACGCCCTACACCACTGGAGAAATTACACTGCTTAGCCGGTATTGCACCACCTGACATCCGCCGGGAAGTAGCAGCCAATAGTGACAGAACCAAGGCAGAGACATCTCCAGCTCATCCCCTGTTTGGGTATCAGCCAGCACGTCAACGACTTAAATCTAGAAATAGTTTTCTAAGATCTACAGAGACACTCGCTGGAACACCTCAGCAAGCGAGAGTCCAAAAGTGGCAGGCTCAAACCCAGAACCTCAACCATGGCTGATACCAAATGAGAGACTCCCCCCTGGGTACACAGAAAACTGGGGGACTTGGAAGGCGCTGAACAGACTGCGCTCTGGCACCACGAGATGCAGAGCCAACCTTAAGAAATGGGGCCACAAAGTGGAATCCATGACATGCGAGTGTGGAGAAGAGCAAACCACAGACCACCTGCTGCAATGCAACCTGAGCCCTGCCACATGCACAATGGAGGACCTTCTTGCAGCAACACCAGAAGCACTCCAAGTGGCCAGATACTGGTCAAAGGACATTTAATCCATTACCAAACTCACACATTTTGTATTTTCTCTGTTTGTTTGCTTTGTTCTGTTAGAAATGTAATATAATTTGACTGGTTGTCCTGACACGACAAAACATAAATAACATATTTGCAATACTTTTAAGATTATACTTTAACATTACCAAAATCTAGTAGGACCCATCAATGTTTTGGAAATGAAATATGACTATTTTTATGTATCAGGTATTTAAAACTTTATCTTGGAAACCATAAAAAGGTTTCTCAAATTGAGATTACATGAGAATATTTGATGTTTTCTTAACATGCTTAGGGAGAAGGAAAAGCCAATAAAAGACTAAAACCAGCCAGGCTTGAGAGAAAAATTTAACACATACAATTACAAACATTCTACGTTTGAAAATCTCAAGGATCCTTGGCACAATAATTGTTCAAGAGAAGCGTACAGACTTTTAGTAAAGCCTTTTGTCATTACTTGTTTCCAATGGGTTTCCTGTATTTGGTTTTCAAAATGGTGATATAATGGGCTGCTCAGTCTAAACATGGAAGACTGAATGAGGCAGAAGCAAGTACTAGAAATGCAAGCTATTATGCACAATGTTATGGTTATAAACTGCTAGAACAAATAAATAGAAAAACAATTAACTCATAGTACAGGTACAGATCAATAGATTAGAGCTTGAAGTATGCAAATCTTGCTACAGCAAGTGGCTAAAACTAACTGAAAAAAGGTTAGATTTTTCTCCACCTACTGACACAAACATCTCATCTTGTATAGGACTTGATGTGTGGCATACTTTCCTTACGGTTCATTCATTTTGGGGCACAGCTCTCAAGGTGGTCAAACAATTGGAGGCAAAGTGTATACACTCCCCTTAAACAAAAGTGCTTTGTGTGCCTTAGAGAGCACGGGGAGAAGTACTGCTAAGTTTGGAACTCAAGCTATTTTGAGATCTTCCAGTTTTGAGTCACACCCATTCTTAGCCTAAATAATATAAAGTCTCTTACAACTATAGTTAAAATGTCCCATAAAGGGCACAATGAACTTTCTCTTAGTAGACAAATGCTACTCAAAATTGTGGTCCCTGAGCCATCCTTTACAAATTTCCAGGAAGGAAAGAAACCAAGTGTAGCCTCTTGGAATAGATATGGAACCAGCGCCTGGTACATTGGAAACAAATAATTGTTGGTCCCCCAAACCAGATAGCTTGAGACACACTACACTGGACAGTTAAAAAACAAAACAAAAAAACCTCAGAAGATCGATGGAGTACTCTCTCCATCCCTGTGTCCTCTCTTCTCTTGATCACCCTGGGAAGACACACTCAGGGCAAAATAATGAACTCAGCAGGACTGAGGAAAAGCATTTTGCTTTTAATGGAATATTCTTGTTGTAGACATGACATCTGATTGTCAGTAATGTTACTGAAATGTTCAGAAACTGAATCAGATTACAGGAACTTCAATACTACAAAGTAATGACATTTCTCTGACAAAGTAAGTGTGTGGAAAGTTGGTAAAAGCTCAGTTAAAGAACCTCAGCTGGATTGTATTCCTGTAACTAAAGTGTCCTCAATTGCTTTCTTTGCTCTCAAAGGAACTTAAGTGGATCCAGGGGCTTGAGTGTCTGTATTTTATGTAACCCTATAGGAGCATTGGCCTTACTATCCTACTAAAGAACTACGGTACAGGCTGCTTTTCTGGACTGTGTAGGGGAGGAGTCCACAAAACAGAATTTGATCCCTCATGCAGCATTATGTCCATCTTGTTTAGCTGTTACTATTAACTGAAGTAAGATTATTCACTGCAAGGAAGAAGAGAATTGAAGTAGAGTGTTTTATAAATTCACTGGCAAGTACTGACTTCCCCTCCTTATCCTTCCCAAGGAACTAAGAACAGCACAAACCCCAACCTATGTTTTATCTGTATAACATTTAGAATTGTGAGCTTGGTGGTGAAATGAGGATTTGGATGGGTATTCCTTAAGTAGTATACACAACAGTACATACTGAATGGAAAATGCAAAACATTTGGAAAAAGGAGGGGTGGTGTATAAAATTATGCAATATGCATAGAAAAAAGTGCACTTTGTATTAAGTCAGGATTATCACCACTGAAAAAGAAATGTGTACCACATGCTATGATGATTCCTTTACCGAAATTGCATGGATCTTGAGACTAACGGGGAATAGAGCCTTCAAGTTCACAGATATAGTCTCAGTTCTGGTCTCTATCTCAGGGCATCATGTCTTGTCATCAATCTCTTTAAAAATGTTGTAAAACAACTCAGCATCTGTATGCTTGCCCACTATGTGCTGCCTTGTGCACAGATGAAGGAACTGTTTAAAGCCACACACAATGCGGTGGCTGTTGCCCATTTTTGGTCTAAAATTATTTAGCCGCTTGTGTTCCCTCTATTTTATCAGTTTTATACTAATTTATTTATGCAATGCTTTTGATACGAAATAAAACCACTCTTCAACTGCTGGATAGATGGAACCCATGGGCACACAACTGGACTGCTTAAAGCTAATATGAACAAGAGCTAAAAGTCCTGTGCTCTAGATACTTCTACTCACCTTTGCACTAAACGCTTTGCTCTGCCCATAAATTTCATCTGGTCCAGCAGTCTGATGAGCTGAGCCACCAAAACCTAGGATGATAGTATAAAATTCTTTTTCTGTTTATTCTGCCCAGTATCTCAGTAATTGTGTGAATATACCAATGTAATTTACAAAGCATCAGTATGCAGATTTATACTTTATCTATTTGTAGGATATTAGTTCACAGGAAAACAAAGAAAATGTAATCATTTGTTATCAAAACGTTTTAATTTTGTGGAAGCAAGACTGATTCCTTCAGACATAAGTAATGGTAACACAAGGAACATTGTATAAAATGCACTTTTTTATAAAAAATTCCAGCATAACATAAAAATTGCTCACTGAAATTCCTCATCTATGTATCCTACATCAAAATATAGAAAAGCTGAAAAACAGCTTGAGGTAAGATTTTTAAAATTCAAATGGCATTTTTAAAAAAAATAGCTATACAGACATCCTAGTAACTTGGGAAGTTACCTACCATCAATATAAAGTATTATACTAAACATTTTCCCCCAAATGAATTTTTTTACAAAGTACAAAAGGCTAGCAACACAATGTTTCACAAGACAGATTTAGTACAATACTGCACTTGTCTCAGTTCACGTACAAATGACACCTCAATTTTCTGCTTTGGATTAGCTGTTACTGCCTGCACTGGAACAGTTAACCTCAGTATTTGGCTGTCTTCCAGATGGTGAGTCAAGACCTGATACAGGAGAGGGCCTAACTGCCTGAGTAACTCGCTGGGTATAAAACAAAATGTAAGCCTGGGCCTTGCATACTTCTTCCATAGTGCACATGTTGAGCTTGGAATCATTGCAGTGTACCCAGAATCCTAGACAGAAAAACAGGAATGTAGACAGTGAAGTTAAACTGTTCTATTCTTAATTAAAATTATAAAATAACAATAGAGGACACAATTACAGTTTCAGAACATTTTACACAGGGATAGAAGTACATTTGGCTTTCCACATTTGCAGATTTTTAAAAAATTTGATTATTCACAAATAACTGTACAGGCAGTCACCAAGTTATGAACAAGATGGGTTTCTACAGGTTTTTTCTTAAGTTGAATTTATAAGCAAGATGGAACAGGTACATTTTTAAGTGTAACTCCAGCCAAATACACACACACACAGAGTGATATCTTTAGATAGCATACCTGTGGTGTTTGTTTTGCTGTCATTCCCCATGAAAAGACCCTTTCCCATGAAAACTTTCAGGACTGAATTTCCCTTTCTAGTGGTAGATTTCTCTCACTTCCTGTTGTCTCTTAACTATGAGTCATTTGTAAGTCAGGTGTTTGTAACTCAGGGACTGCCTGTATTTCAATATATTATGGAGGAAACTTTTGTAAAATGGCTGGGGGGGGGGGTTGCAGGGAGCGCTTTGGGCTGTCATTTGCTGCAATCTTATTAAATCTGCTGATTGAGCATGTCTGAAGAATTTGGAAGGACTGCTTTATGGGCAATTAAAATTAATATGAAACAGCTAATGCCTCTCAGAGGCAAACTTAAAGGCAGTTTTCACATTTAAAATCCTTGTTTGTACCTCCATCTGAATTGTAGCAATAGGCAGTGTAATGTCCTGATCCAAATCCTTTTCCATGATGCATCACCACAGCAGACAAGTCATAGAGAAAGCAGTCTGGAACAAGGGACTTCAGGGATTCTCTGCAGCAATAGGGCTCCATGTTTAGTATCTGGTTGAAGGTGACATGTACACCAATCTTCTCACGGTGATTGCGTCCTGACCATCTTGTAAGGGAAAGAAGTAAACTTAATAAAAACGTTCTCAAAAGTTACCAAAGATTTAAAATCTTCAGGGATGTGCTTGAAACCACAATCTCATGAGCTAGGATCAGAATGGGCTTTATAGGACCACTATACAACACAGTGTCCAGTGGAGGATATTAGAAGCAAAGTATTCCCTCTAGATTGGCTGTCTAACCTACTAATCCTTTAGGGAAATAATTTATGTTCTTACTGATGAGGTGTTTTTCATAACGGTTAAAAAGAAATCTGTTCTGTATTGTTAACCCTGTGTCTAAACTATCATCTTCTATTTGACAGCATTTGAAACATGCAAAGAGCTGTCATTTACTCATCTTCCCTACATTTTCCCTTCATTACCTGCTAAATGTCTCATTATGCCCTGTTACTGGTCAAGGAACATTGCCTGAAGCATGTTTTTTTGGTTTGGTCACAACCACTCCCTTTATAATAAATTTCGTGATTGATTCAAACATTTTTCAAAATTAAAACTTGCTGTAATGCTTCTACAGATTTGTTGGGGAGGGGGTTGTTGTACTATTCCCAATTTCTTTCAAGCAGAATGGGACAAAGTATGGTCCTAGAGCTGCTTTTTGCAGTCCACAATCCCACTCATCAGAATGCCATTTTTCTGACAAAATGAATTTTTATATCTCATTTTACTTTGAAAATACGTTACAATGCCACTTTATGCTATTTTAATATAAAGCACCCTTAATACCCTGGATGCCATCTTCAAATCTTTAGCAATAAATGTCATCTCTGAAGAGCAGAGTACTTATCACATGACCATCTAGCTGTCCACTCATTTTAGAGTTTCATGGGAGAAACTATTTCACCTGTCACTTTTCTAATCATAGAATTTCAAGAATAGGAAAAGCTGGTGATTTTACAATATCTCATCTTTCTGGTCTATAACCTAGTTTCTGAAGCTCTTTCAACTACTCAATTCCTTACAAAATGGCTTTCTTGGCTTCAGATCACACAGTTTTGCTCTTTCAGCTTATTCTCCTAGGTTTATCATTGTCTGAATCCAGATATCCCATTACACCGTTGTTTTTCAGATATCTGATGTGAGAGATCATAATTTTCCTATTGGTATGTCATCAAATGGCACCACACTTGCATCTACTGGTTACAGCTATTTTCACCCCTTCCTTGGGACTAACCTCAAGTACAGTTTTATGCCTACTGTCCATCTAACCATTATTCATTTAGCACATCAATTCACATCCAAAGCATACAGTCCTACCAAAGACCATATGTATATGAATTTCATGATACCATGTTGTATGCACTCCATTATCTGTTCTAACACTGTCATAATTCTTTAATACATTACTGCATAGTGTGTATATATTGAGCAGTACAGATAATGGACACAGGATCTAGGTAGAATGGCACTTTTTTGCTGGAATCTCATCCTAACTAAATACAGGCAGTCCTCAAGTTACAAACATATGACTTACAAACGACTCATAGTTAAGAATGGGGATGAAACAACAGGAAATAAGAGAAATCTATGCCTCTGAAGGGAAATTTAGTCCTGGAAGAGTAATCGTGGGGAAAAGGTGTTTCCACTGAAGCTTTATCACCAATCCTTGTTTCCACAACAGCCTGATAAAATCCATTTACACAGGGATAGAGAATGAGGTGAAATCTTCTGAACAAGGGCACAGACAAATACCAGAGGTGTTAACCCTTCCCTATGTTATTCAAAGCTGAAATATATATATATACACATTTAGCTGGAGTCACACTTTAAAAAATGTAAGTGTTCCAATGTACATACAAGTTCAGATTAAGAACAAACCTACAGAACATATGTTGTTCATAACTTGGGGACTGCCTGTATACAGATCTTCAAAACATTCAATGAGATTGGGCTTTAATCCCTTTGTTCTCTTAATGTACTAAGAAATAATTTATTGCCTTACCTGAACCGCTTAAGGTGTAACCGCAGAACTTGAGGTAGCTGGCATACCATAAGCTGTTTTTGTGCTTCTGAAAGTATAACGGGTTTAGATGAAAACTTTCTTCGCTTTGCTGTTACATGAAAAGGAAAAAAATCCCTCGTTCAAATTCTCAATAGAGCAAACTAACAGCAATTTAGGAAAATCCTGGGTAAAGAGTCAATTTAGCAGGTATTCATTTTGGAACAATCCTGCAAATACTACTTCAATTAATAAAACATTCAAAATACAACTGGACTTCATAGCCAAACAAAGTTATACATTTTGACAGACTTTTTCTTGAAACAAAGATTACTTATGGTGCAATTCCAAAGTAATATTCACAACCGCTTCTTAAGACATTATCCTGATGAAAAATGAAATTCGCTTAACTAAAGTTAATTCACAGATTATGTATAAGTCTGATGCATGAGTACATACTGCATTTACTCACTGTTGCACTGATCACAGGCATATATCTTCCCTTCCAAGGCTTCTGTTTCTGTAAACTTGGCCAGCATTTCAGTCAACATGCATGGATACTGACAGGTTGTCTCCTTCCCATTGCAGTGGTATCTTTCAGGAAATTCCAGTGAGAGATCCCAGAAGGGTTCAATAGTATTTGATTTATTATCACAAGCAAGACATGTTACCTGTCAAGGTAAACAATAATTACAACGGAATCTTCAACTTGCCATTCTGACACCTTTCAATACATCATGTAACGTTTATATCCTGCTTTTCCTCCAATAGCAACACTCTTCCCTATTCTATGCTTAGGACAACACCGTTTGAAGTTGGTTGGGAGGAAAAGAGACTTGAAAACATGCTTGGCTACCACTTTTTCTTAAGGCTTCTCCAGTTTTTGTTGTTGTTTACATTCAAGGTGTTTTCAATCATGGAGCACTTAGGAGTGGTCAATACATTTTATGCTATTTGGGTAATCCGTTAATATAGCAAAATGTTCTTACCTTAAATTGAATTTATACAAACTTAAGGTTTTCCAGAGGAAGATAAATAATGCTATATAATGAAACATTAACAGTGTCTTTCGTAGCATAGTAGCCATTACTATAAGTCAACCGTTTCATTACAAATGAGAAGTATTCATATGATTTCACAATTCTGAATGAAAAACTAAGGTACTTGAATGTAAATATATTATGGAACTCTTAGCCTAGTTTTCTAACCATGTTACTCTGATACTGAAAGTGAAGTACATTGCCAGTGCAGGAAAGCCTGCTTGCCAGATCAGCTGACAAAATCTTGTTCAATCTACACATTATCACTGCTGTGCAAAAAATAACCACAAATGCTTGTCATCCTGCAAGGATCTAATCTTTCTCAAAAATAATAGTATTTGTATCATACACTTTTATACGGGTTGATATCTTTTCGTCATGCTACAATAATGTGTGAGGAAAGGGGGAGAGAGACCTACAGCACCTCGGAGAAAAATAATCTCTGGGTTGCTGTGAGTTTTCTGGGCTCTATGACCATGTTCCAGAAGCATTCTCTCCTATGGAGGAGAGAATGCTTCTGGAACACAACCATACAGCCAGAAAAGTCACAGCAGCCCAGTGATTCCAGCCATGACAGCCTTTGACAGCACAAAAATAATCTCATTTGCAGGACAAGATACTAAGGCACAGATGGCTCGGCACATGGCCAGCTGCCACGCACAAGTACTTCCTAGGTGCCATAAAATAATCCTGTCACCAATCTATAGTGTAGCTACCCAGAAAAGTGTCTAATATGCACCAACGCTAGGAACAATATAATCTGACAAGCTCTTGTAACTCTTTTTTATACATGTATGTCAGGTTTGTGGTTTGCTTACAGGCTGACAATGCTGTTTTCTTATAATGGTGTTGCTAGTTCAAGGTTATAAAGTCTCTGTATGATTTCTGCGGTATCCCTGTGTGGCTCACAAGGGACATGAGTCAAATGCAACAGCCACCATTGGGGATCCGACATAAGTTGAAAGACATTGTGGGTCTATAAAAATACAGTAACCCTGCTATCTGTACTCCCCTGTTCGGGTACTTCTGGACTTCAGGAAGTTTATCGATTCAGGACACTACTTACTATACTAGTAAGGCAGGATGTCTTGTAAATGGCTATGTAAAGAAATCTTTCTCATGTCTATCAGGAGGAGCCCAAGGGTATATATTTCAAAAGTAAGGAGATCTACTTCAAAAATGTTATCTGGTGATTAAACGTATATATTGCTTGAACTACCATAATGATAAGGTGCTTCAAATAGTATTACCATAATGTAGAATTCAGAATGCCAGGACAAATTGAGTGTTGTTTTAATACATAGATCACAAATGGTTTATTCCAGAATATCAAAGTCAGTGGAGATATTCTGGAGCACACAAACTGGATAAAATGCCTTGAAATCATTTTAATCAATCTTGCCATTTCTGGATAAAAATGCTAGGAAGGTGATCAAATAAACTGTAGTTAAGAAGGGTGTATCAAGAAATTGTAATAAGAAAAACACACTTTCCTATCGGGCAGATGAATAAAGTGAAGAGATTTTACTGAGTAAGAAACAGAAATGCTACAACAGCTGCAGCTCCTTAGTTTGCTGGCATGCATTATACAAACATCCCAATTCAGTGATGGAAATTTAAGTCAGCTTTGACCTGAAAATCCCCTCCTGTTCCAGCTCTCAGTTACTCTGGTATGTGTCTCAAATCACAACAGGCTGAACTAAGTTGTGTAGTGTTGTAATACTGAAGATTTGGAGTTTATCTTGCTTTTCTCCCCTGAATACAGTACAATTGCCTGATTATGTTCCTTACTTTTATCAGTACTGAAAACAAGTAATGTTTAGATCTTACCTAGGAAGGAAAGGTAGTCTAGTCTAGCCTGCTAGTAGTAAACTGCCACTCACTGAAGCAAAAGGCCAGGACATAAGCTTCAGAAGATATTATTTTACAATTTTAAACCACGCTCATCACTTATCGCTCATGTCACATGATAATGCCATTCCAAAGAATGGTGTAGATATTCCTGTCTATAATCTTGTCTCTAGCATCCAATATAATATCTGCAGTCTTGAAAATAAAACTTTGTTAATTACCTTTGCCTTGAGAACACACTTTTTCATATGTCATTCTCATTCTTGTTAATTTACTATTTTTAAAGTTATAAAGAGTTAAGCTATGATGTCCATTTAATTACAGAAAAGACTGATTTAAAGCATAAAGCCTCAAATTTACTGATAAACAGAAATTTAAAATTTTAATTTATCTGTCCTTTTGAGGAAACCAGGTTAAGGAAGTTGTTTTGTGCTGATTTTACCTGTTCACTATCATAATTTTCTTTTATTGTTTTAATCCATTTTAGCTTCTACTTCTCCATCTATGGATTGACTGATTAAAAAAAATTAAATAAGTACAGATGAGGAGCCCCCAGTGGTGCAGTGGGTTAAACTGCAGAGCTGCTGAACTTGCTGACCGAAAGGTCACAGGTTCAAATCCGGGGAGCGGCATGAGCTCCCACTGTTAGCCCTAGCTTCTGCCAACCTAGCAGCCTGAAAACATGCAAATGTGAGTAAATACAGTAGGTACCGCTCTGACAGGAAGGTAACGGCGCTCCATGTAGTTATGCCGGCCACATTACCTTGGAGGTGTCGATGGACAACGCTGGCTCTTTGACTTAAAAATGGAGATGAGCACCAACCCCCAGAGTCAGACATGACTGGACTTAATGTCAGGGGAAAACCTTTAGCTGCCTTTACCTAAAGTACAGGTGAGCATAGTGGGTGTATGGGAGATCAATAAAATAGAACATCACAGATCTGTCTTCTGTAAATGCGTAGTGCTTTTTGTCTAATATTGGGACTCAGAGAAGGGGCTTCTCCAACAATATTAAGTCACAGATAGGATGGTATGGAGGCATATCTTACATTTTAAGCAAGTGTTTCTCAACCTGTGGGTCCCCAGATAGTTTGGCCTTCAATTCCCAGAAATCCTAACAGCTGGTAAGCTGATTGGAATTTCTGGGAGTTATAGGCCAAAACACTTGGGGACCCACAGGCTGAGAACCACTGTTAAGAGGATCATGGTAGCAGGAAAGACCATGGGGGGTCCTTCATTAACAGCCAGTTCAAAATTTAGATCCCTATGAAAAGGATTCAACATGGGACTACTACCCAGTGGCAAAAAAATGAAACTGGAAGGGACTGAAGGTCTGTACATCCATTATAGGAGAACAATTCTGTTCTCATTTTGGCTTTCCAAATAAAACATTTTAGCTGGAAGTACAAGAAGATATGTTGTGTTCAAAAATAGGTAGGGGGTGAATGCAAACTAAAGGCTACTTGCTCCCCAGCTATGACTGAGGTGGACCACCTTATTAGATACAGGGAAATGAGTATGTTCAGCTTGTAAAGATAGTCTTACAGCATATTGAATTTCCTCTAACTTACTCTTTAAATTGATTTGTGGAGGTTACTACCAAAGCTTGAGAGACTACATTGTTCCCCTGCGGGGCCTTGGAAGTTTGCACCTTCACTACCACGCCTCCAGTCTATCTATTGAATCTTTTTTTAAATTCCCTTAAGGGCAATTTTAAAAAACCTTTTGAAGAAAAGTTTTCAGGAAACCTTCTAGTTTTCTTCCTCATTAAATAAAGGGCTACCCAGGATCTAAACACAGTCTGAGAGGGCAAGACCCTGCCGAATGGGTATGTGTATATTTGGGGGGTGGGGGCAGTATGGTACGGTATTTTTAACATTTTTTAAAGGTGGGATCTTGTGGGTGCCAAAAACTGCCAAAGGATCCACATAAAGCCTCCATGCCTTAAGTACTTCTAATTCATTTGCTCACAATTATTAATTCACTTCAATCTTTTACATTATTTCACTCACCATACCTGACTTAAAAGCTGCCCGTGAAAAATGGTATTAACCACGTTCAGAACCTGCTTAATGAGTTTCCTTTGAGAAGTGGGAATGAGGGCTGGGCATTTTGTCCGAGCTGTCTCCAGTTCTTGCTGTACTTTATCCAAAAGTTCACAAAGAAATTCCTGAGCATCTTGTTGGGAATAGCCACGAAAGGCTGGGATTAGTCTCCATACTGAATGGAGCATGGCAAAAGGAGACACCAAAGCCCACTTGCCAGACCACATCACTTGAAACAAAGTATGCAGCTCATGACAAAGAGAGATGTACTTTGAGCTTGGCTCCTTTGGTTGAATAAGTTCCATATTTCTACTGTTTGATGCTCCCCCACTTAAGCCGGATGACACACTAGTTCGCCTTGCATAAGATGCCTTGCCTTTAATATGGCTTTTGTTCAAATGAAAAATAGAGCCAGGAGATGGAGGATGCTTAGAAGATGATCTTGTTTTGCCATTAGCTGCAGCTGCTAACAACTCTTGAGTTTGGTTCAAATCAAGCTTTAAAAAACATTCCCGAAATATGAGCAAGTGACTCAATACCTGAAGAATAGAATTCATATAGCACGTATTTCCCAAGTTTCGCAATCCTGTTACACCAGGAGTCATAGTAGGCCTTCTTTTCATTGGAGAGTCATTAATTTTTTTTAATTTTACTTCATCTGAGGTAGCTGTTATTTTCAGCTCTACAGGAGAGTCTACATTTTGTGACATTTTTAGTGCACAGCGTGGAATTGTTGAGGATTTTCTATTTTGATTCTGCAAACGAAAGCTCTTCCTTGGAGGCATTTTTTCCATTTCTTCCTTCAACTGCCGCTTTCGCTCTTCTCTTCTCTTCCTAGCATTAATTCGTCTTTCTTCTGCCTCTTCCCTTAGCTTCTCTTCTTCCAGAACTCTTTTTCCATTTGGTGTCAGTTCAAACCAAGATCTAAACACTTTGCCCATTAATGCATGTCTCCTGTGCCACAGAGCTGTGAACATACGGTCTTGATTACGAAGCACTGCTTGCGCATTATTATGTGAAAGGTCATCACTTGAGCCCATCGATCGCAAAGTCCTGCCACTGCGAGTAGTACAGTCATAATTTTGACTCTTGATTGCACTTAATGTACTTCGCAAGAGTTTTAGGTCACCAGTTGCATTATCATTAAGGACATAGTCATCACAAAGATAGCAGAAAACATACAGCTCATTCACTTCCAATGCCACTGGATGATTACTTTCTTGAAAGTGCTTTAGTGCATGTTCTTCAATATATCTTCCACAAGCAACATGCGAGCAACTGAGGCAGGCCCATACAGATTCTGTAGTATTGCAGACCATGCAATGCCATTTCTGAGGGTTCACAATGGAATGATCTTGGGCAAGTCGAAGACGTCCTACATGCTTACATTTATCCATTGTTAATACTTCAATGCTGTCAAAATTCTACAGAAACCAGTTTTCTAGTTCTTGCATTGTGACCTGAAAGCAAAAAAACAAAACTATTTTATTTCTTGTCTGTGTCACACTTTTCAAAACACAATACATTAATTTTCTTATTAAGGCCAGCCTCCCAGGGTGGGGAAGAAGGGTGGGGTATAAATACAGGAAATAAATAAATAAATAAATCTGTGGATTTAACCATCCACAGCTTTAAAAGTATTTTTTAAACCCCAAAAGCTATCTTGATTCTACCATTGTATATAAAAAAACCCCATCATTTTACCATGCCATTATAATGGGACCTGAGCATCCAAGGATTCTGATATCCATGGGAAGCCTGGAACCAAACTGCAGCACATATTAAGAGTCTACTGTAATTATATTCATTTTAAGCATTAGCACAGTAATGTGACCATGAACTACCACTATCAGGAGAACTTCCTCTGAGGTTGAGAGAGTGTGGCTCACCCAAGGTCACATAGTGGGTTTCCATGATCAAAAAAATGCATGGATGTAACCTAAGTTTAGGATATTGCCCATACATGAACATGTGCAAACACAAACTTTAGTCTGGAGCAAACCACAGCAGTGGGCCTAATTGCCCTAAGATCATCCGGAAGCTGCACAGGCTGCCAAGAATTTCAGAAGATTACTTCTGGCATTGATAAACATGATTATGTTATGTTCAACTTAGGTGTATTCCATTCCCAAAAGAAGAGTAGCACATGCTTCCAAGAATCATCGATCAGACCACATATAGAACAACTTTTCTGTATTGCCTGGCTCCAGTATTTATTGCTCAGAAATATCATAGTCTGAATCCGGAGGTGCGAGTTAATTATAATGGTAATACCTGTTAATAGGCTTTTTGTCTATGGGCCTAAAATAATTTTTAAACCACTTAAGCAATTAATTATCACTACATCTTATAAAAGTAATTTTACACATTCATTATGCATTATGTAAAATATTTTTTCTCTGTCATTGGTCAATTTCATTGAGTAATCCCCAAATTAATGTAGTATAAAGAAGAGGTTCTCCCACAATTTTCTTAGCCTCTTACACCTTGTCTCATTCTCTAGAAATCTTTTTTGTTAAATAAGGAGCCACAAATTCTTTACTTCTCTCATAGGAAATGCATTTGATCCAGAAAACATGCAAAGAGGGAACAAAACTACTAGTTAGTAATGTGATAAAATGTGTTCTCTACAATTAAGCAAAAATATCTTCAACTTAGAATGAGAATACCCCACTCTTTACAAAATAAAAAATGACTACCCCACTCTTTGGAACCCTGTAGATCAAACGTAGTTTCAAGATCCTTGAGTTAAATAGTCTGGCTTTACATTATTTCGCCCCTCCTGATCCTTTTCCCAGTCACCTTGTCTTTGAACACATGAAAGAGCAAGAAAGTGTTCATTTCATCTTTTTCTTCTAATTACCAGGAAATCCACATAAACCAAGTGCTGTAATTAGTTAAAATTTAGTAACAAACAACTGGATTTTAACATGTCTTACAAGGAAAATCACTAAATTAGTGCTGGGCAACTGCCAAGACAATTCTAGTTCCAATTAGTATACATCAATATTTTAAACTATTTTACACATAGAGCAATATTAGAAGGTATTTGTTAACAGTATAATTCTATATCTTCTCAGAACAAGAACTGATAAAAAAAAATCTATTGAAGGAAAGATTAATGGAATCTTAAACTTTTTTATAAAATGTAAAAATTAATTAAAATACAAAATGTTGACTTCCATTTCAATATGAAAGGCAAAATGTAAATAAAAAATGTGCTAACTAAACAGAAGCAAACATAAACAGGATTTCTTGGCAGAATTTGTTCAGAGGGGGTTTGCCTTTGTCTTCCACTCAGGCTGAGGGTATGAGTTTCCCAAGGTCATCCAAATGATTTTCCTGGCTGAGGGGGGATTTGAATCCCTACACTACTCACATAATATAATTCGAAGTATTCATGTGGGTTTTTTTATTGTTTTATGAAAACTCAAGACAATCGGAAATACTAACATCTAGATCACTTAGTTGGGAAGAAAATCTAACTAGAGAATTAACAGGAAAATCAGCAAAATTCCAAATCTAATACAGGTATGACTTAATTAAGAAATCAGGTGTGTTTTTCGGCACAGCAGTACTTCTTTAACAGAGAATTTGGTAACAAAGGTAGCAATATAACAGAAAGGATAAGTTTCCTGCACTGAAAAAAACAAAACAAAAAACAACAACAGGGGGATGGGGGTGTTCAGCATGTTTCAATAACATTTTATTCAAAACTAACCATTTGCACATGTGTTAGCTTGCATTGGTAAACAGAAGCCTTGCATTAGTAAACAAAAACAATTTGAACACTCCACAGCCTGCTTGAAGGTTTCTTCCAAAATACATACAGGAATGACTTTACCCTCCTTTCATCAGCTCAACTTTTCTTATGCCACTGTAGGTTCAACTACAGCAGAATCCCATTTTTCCAGATTACACTTTATGGCACTGTTTACTAAAGACATACTGTTACAACCTGATACCTTGTGTTTCTCAGCCCTCCTTCACCATTTTCTCAATGCTGCTGAAATCATCAAGCAACACGGGGAAAAAGAAGCTTGACTAATGTCAAAAAGAAATTTTGAAAAAGAAACTTCTTCTTCAGAGGCTCTGCTAACAAAGATAAGATTGTACAACCAAAGAAATGGTTAATTTCTGGCCATGGTATCCAGAACATAGTCCTCTTTAAGTACAAACAGGTGAATCACAGTTTATCACTAGACATTTGGTGTGGAGAGCAGCAAAGCATTAATGTTTGCTACACCTGACATCAGAAGGTGGTTTGCAACCTGCATGAGAATCTTTAGTCCACTCTCCTATTGTTTGTATATGTACACAGTCTTTCTACTGTGTGCACACTTCTTAGGCAGGTGGTAATAATAAATCCATGGGCAAAATTTAATAACAGAATTGGCGCATCAGTAACAAAGGGAAGTTAGTTGGAAGTAATAAGAATTCCCTTTTTTCTGTGATGCTTCTCCTGAAGGCATACTAAAACAGGAGTGCCCGTTGTTGCAGGTCCTGCTTCAACTGATCTTTTCCCACTTGAAATAATCATTGTGATGGTAGCTTTAGTAACTATGTATTTATATGAAGGAAGGTTTGCAGGTCTGCAAGGAAGAAATACAGTTACAACGCCCAACAAACACTAAGAAATCAATCAAAAGGAGAGAAACACTGGCAGAGCAAAGTCATTGCATCAAAGTCCAAATCCCCCACCCAGCCATGATGCTCACTGAATGACCATGCTCCAATCATTCCCTGACCTACCTCACAAGGTTTTGTTTTTTTTAATTCAAAGTAAAAGAGCACTGGAATTATGTCCACCAGTGTGATCTCTTCCTGAATGAAGGCTGGGGTAAAAACATAAAATGAAGAGTGGGATAAAACTAGAGTACAATTAAGAACATTTCTGGCACAAGATAGCCCAGTGGCTATCATAGATTTATCGCAATGTAGAGAGCCACTTTAATATGAGCTGCTTTCTTCCACGCTTAGCCCATTTTGCTTTATCTAGGCACAGAACATAAACTCAAGCCGGAAATGCATTTCATGACCTTTGAGATGGAGTAATAAAAGTATTATATGGATTTTAGCATTTTGTTTTGAAATGTACTGAAGAGAGCGAGAGTATAGCTCAGCTTAAAATGTATCTATTAATACTCCATTCATTTTTTCATTAAATGAAAGCCATACCTAGAGGTCATCTATACATTTAACAACCACTGATTCTGGAAAATAATTCCTAACAATACTTTCTTGTCCTATTAAAGCTAAATAGAGAGAAGTAGCAATAACTCCTTGGGTTTTCTATCTAACAAACAGAACCAATTCTTACAAGTTTCATAAGATTTTACCAGAGCTTTTCCTTAAAAACAGCAACACCTTGCAGTCTGAGGGGTTCTTACTTGGGAGTCCAGTGTTTTTAATACCAAGGAAGCTGTCCTGACCCTAAACCAGTGCCTGTCATCAGTAATGAACTGGATGAGGGCAAAAAAATTGAAAGTAAATCCTGACAAGACAGAGATACATCTGGTCAGTCTGAAGGTAGATCAGGGAATAGAGATCTAGCCCATGCTGGATGGGGGTTACACTCTCCCTGAAGACACAGGTTCGCAGTTTAGGAGTCCTCCTGGATTTGACACTGAACCTGGAGGCCCAGGTGACAGTGGTGGCCAAGAGGGCCTTTGCACAATTAAAACTTGTGTGCCAATTACGCCCATCCTTTTGAGAAGACAGATCTGGCCACGGTGGTACATGCCTTAGTTACATCCTGTCTGGATTGCTGTAATGCGCTTTACGTGTGCCTGCCTCTGAAGAGTTCTCAGAAACTTCAGCTGGTCCAAAGATCTGCAGCCAGATTGCTAACTGGCTACAGGGAGTAGACAACACTCTCTGTTGCAGCAGCTCCACTGGCTGCCAGTCTGTTTCCGGACATGCTGTTTATGACCCTTAAAGTCCTAGACGGTCCAGGTTATTTAGCTGACCGCATTGCCTTCTACGAACCCGCCCAGATCCCGAGATCTTCAGGAGGGGCTCTTCTCTCGGTCCCACCTCCACCTCAAGCTCGATTGATGGGAAGGAGAGAATGGGCTTTCTTGGTGGCTGTCCCTTGACTCTGGAACTCCCTGCCTAGTGAAACCAGAATGACCCTCTCCTTGATATCTTTCCTGTGGCAGGCTAAAATCTTTTTACTTAGACAGGCATCTGAAGAAAGTTTTAAAGATAAATTCATGGGGTGCTGTGGTTTTTATCTTTGAATATGTTTTAATGATTTTTAACTGTGATTTTAAAAATATAATTAATATTTAATTCTGTTTTAATGTTTTCATATTTGTATATTTTAAATTGTATGCTAATGCTTTTATGTTAAGCCTCTTTGAGTCTCATTTGGGAGAGATAAAGCGGGGTATAAATAAATATAATAGTAATAATATGATGGGACATCATGTCTCAAGATTATTCTAATTATCCTCTGCACATCCCACCAAATAACCTTATTTCTGAACTCTAAATGGGCTGTAATGCTGCAAGCCCTACATGCTTATGTGTGATAATGGCATAAAGGAAGAAGTACAGCCTGTAACAAAATGTTGAAGTATGGAATATTTCCTGCCCAGGATTCAAAACATCGAATTCTATTCCTCTTTGTGGTTTTCCAGTCTACCTCACTCAATATTCAGTGACCACCGTACATGGTGAGATTTAATGGGACTTTAAGTATTCCCCTTTGGGTTCCCCCTAAATATTTGTTGCAGTTCCGCAAATCAAACAAACATTTCAGCTTAAACTTGCTATTGGCCAGCTTCTTAGGTATTTTACATCCAAAAGTTTTTTTTGAACACACTCCAACTGATCCTCACTACTTCCTCAGATCATAAAGGTCTTACCTGCCACAATAATTTAAATTATTATCTGCCTTTCTCAAAGAACATAACCAAAAGCCTTCGACAACACAAGATAATAAAAAAATTGCCTCTCAATAAGATATAGTTTGTGTTGCCCTTCTCCATATAATATGTAAATTCTGTTTTATTTTCTGTGAATATAGAGAATGCATTCAACTGCTAGAAATAATGGCCTTGCTTTTAAAATATACTGTTTTGTTCCATTCCCATTTACATTTAATTGCAGCTCCTTGCTGACCTATTAGCAAAGCTGCTAGGCCACATTGTCTGATAGATTTCTTTCCCCCATACCTTTTGAAATTCCCTCAATGAGATTTATGCACAGGAACCCCAAGGAATGGGTTTGCCTCATTGTCAGTTACTCAAACACAACAAAAGAATTCAAGTGTGGGGCCTGAAGGCTGCACTTGGCTGCTTATCCCCAGAACTCCCCGATATTAGAAAATAAACATATCCAACCACCTCAAAATTCACACATTTGAGAAATATCTCCTGTGTAATCATTTTGGCCAGTGGCTCTTTTGGTCCTAGACACATTTACTTGTTGTGAGGCACATTTATTTCAGTGGCTTTTAGTTGCAAGCGATTTGGGAACACAACCTGCAGGTGCTGTGATCACTAAATACATTTACTGGGATATTTAAGAAACAGTAAGAAGCCAGACTTTTCTTATTTTTCCAGTATATGTATGTCAGTAATCTGTTTATCATAAAGATCAATCAGTCAGGAATAAGCAGATGTCAACATCCAAAATAACTAAGTGGATGGGGAAGGTATATTTTCAGAGGAAGTGGTGTATGATATTTTATGATTCCAAATGTTTAAGAGATTTTAAAATGACCGGTAATTTAATTCTGTTTTAACATTTGTACGGGGTGGGTTTAAAAAAAAAAGTAAATGTTGTGAGCGGATTTGTGTCCCAATCAAGAGATACAAATACACTGAATAACTGATAACCTAATGTATATATTGATTACACAGCACAACAAATATTTTCTTGGTGCCTTGGTTTTCAGGCCTGGTGCTGGAGTTATTTGGAGTGCTGATACAGAACATTGCATTGCATAGACTGCATCAGTTCTAGTTTCTTAGGACCCTTCTAGCCCCTTCCACACAGCTGAATAAACCCCACATTATCTGCTTTGATGTGGGTTATCTGAGTCCACACTCAGATAATGTGGGATTTCCTACCTTGATATTCTTGGATATAGGGCTGTGTGGAAGGGCCCCAGGCCAACACTCCTTTTGATGCCTGAGGCCCCTTCCACACAGCTGAATAAAATCCCACATTATCTGCTTTCAGCCTGAATATATGGCAGTGTGGACTCTGATAACTCAGTTCAAAGCAAATATTGTGGGATTTTCTGCCTTGATATTCTGGGTTATATGGCTGTGCAGAAGGACCCCAAGACAGGCCCTATATCCCAGGATCTGATCCCTGGCTTTCTGTTTATCCCAGATTATCTGGCAGTGTGGACTCATAATCCAGTTTAAAGCAGAAAACCTGGGATCAGATCCTGGGAGGTAGGGCCTGTTTAGAAGGACCCTTGGATATGGTTGCCGTGATTTTCTATGGGCAAGCAGATGAAATGTGATATATGGCATATGTTCTGTAGTGGTGCCCTTTTTGGAATCAGTAGGGGCCCTTCCACATAGACATGTAACCCAGAATATCAAGGCAGAAAACCCCACAATATCTGCTTTGAAATGGGTTATCTGAGTCCACACTGCATATATTCCAGTTCAAAGCAGATGTGGGATTTTATTCAGCTGTGTGGAAGGGGCTTCAAGCAGCAAAAGGAGTGTTGCCCTGGGGCCCTTACACACAGCCCTATATCCCAGAATATCACAGCAGGAAATCCCACATTATCTGAGTGTGGACTCAGATAACCCACATCAAAGCAGATAATGTGGGATTTTCTCCCTTGATATTCTGGGATATAGGACTGTGTGGAAGGGCCCTGATTTGTCTGAATCCACACTGCCATATATTCCAGTTCAAAGCAGATATTGTGGGATTTTCTCCCTTGATATTCTGGGACAGAGAGCTGTGTGGAAGGGCCCTTAGATAACCCAATTCAAAGCAGACAATGTGGGGTTTCTGCCTCGATATTCTGGGATAGAGGGCTGAGTGGAAGGGCCCTTAGATAACCCAGTTCAAAGCAGATATTGTGGGGTTTTCTGCCTCGACATTCTGGGATAGAGGGCTGTGTAGAAGGGCCCTTAGATAACCCAGTTCAAACAGATAATGTGGGATTTTTTGCCTCAATATTCTGGGATAGAGGGCTGTGTGGAAGGGCCTTTAGATAACCCAAATCAAAGCAGATAATGTTGGGATTTTCTGCCTTGATATTCTGGGATAGAGGGTTGTGTGGAAGGGCCTTTAGATAACCTAAATCAAAGCAGATAATGTGGGATTTTCTGCCTTGATATTCTGGGATAGAGGGTTGTGTGGAAGGGCCCTTAGATAACCCAATTCAAAGCAGATAATGTGGGATTTTTTGCCTCAATATTCTGGGATAGAGGGTTGTGTGGAAGGGCCCTTAGATAACCCAGTTCAAACAGATAATGTGGGATTTTCTGCCTAGATATTCTGGGATAGAGGGCTGTGTGGAAGGGCCCCCAGTGTAATAATTCCTCCCAGCAACTTCAACCTTCCTCAGTCAAACTTGCTCCAGAAGCAACAAGTGCCTCCCTCCCTCCCTTTTTGTGAGGCTGGGATCCCACCTCTTGATCACAAACCCAACTCCACAAGAAACCCTTTTCCAACTTCATCAAGGCACCTTTTGGGGGAGAACTTTTAAAACACGTCCATCCTGCTATCCAACAACCTCATGGATATATGGAGGCCGACGAGGAAGGAGAGCAGCCTTCCACGTGAGCCCTCAGTTTGAGAGATTTGTGTGGAAATAATAATAGTAACAACAAGCTGCGTCCTTGCCCCAACTTCACTTCAAAGGAGGGAGGGAGGGATGAGGTCCCAGAGCATCCATGGGGAGAAGAAACCCGCTCGCTTTGTGGGGAGGGAGGGAGGGAGGGAGGGAAGGAAGAAGGAGCCCTTCCTCGTTCAGGACTGAGGAAAGAAAGAGGGGAGTTCGCCTCGCCTGAGAGGAAATCCCGGCGCTTTCTGCGAAGAGCGCCAAAACAAAAATCTCGGGAGCGGAAGGGCAGCACGGGGAAGCCCTCCCGAGGCGGCGGCGCCACGGGCCTCTCCCTCCTGCTTGAGGGAAGGCGCTCCCTTTGGTCTCCCCTCGGTCTCCTCATACCTCCTCGCGCAGCAGCAGCAGCAGCCGTCGTCGTTTCCCTCAGCACCCTCGCCGCTGCCTCCTCTGCTCGCTCGCTCGCCGCCGCCATCTTGGACGCCTCCGGGGCCTAGGCCGCCTCCTCCTCCTCCGCCTCCTCAGCAACCGCCCCCTTGGCAGCAACAGCAGCAGCAGCGTCGTCGTCAGGGCCTCTCCCTTCCCGTGCTGCCCTTCCCCTCCCTCCCTCCGTCCCTCCTTCCTGTGGGCGAGGGGAGCCTTCTATACCTCATAGGGATTGCCTGAAGTCCTTTTATAACGGACCTGGGCCAACTTGAGCCCTCCCTCCAGGTGTTTTGGCCTTCGACTCCCACCATTCCTAACAGCCTCAGGCCCCTTCCTTTCCCCCCTCAGCCGCTTAAGCGGGATAAAACATACACAATTGGTTTTATAAGTTTCTTCACCTTCTCTGCCAAAGAGTGCTGGTGCCTCATCAAACTGCAAGTGCCGGGATTCCATAGTATTGAGTCAAGACAGTTCATTTATGTCGTACTAGCCGTCCCCTGCCACGCGTTGCTGTGGCCCACATGGGGGTTCTGTGTGGGAGTTTGGCCCAATTCTATCGTTGGTGGGGTTCAGAATGCTCTGTGATTGTAGGTGAACTATAAATCCCAGCAACTACAACTCCCAAATGTCAAGATTCTATTTTCCCCAAACTCTACCAGTGTTCACATTTGGGCATATTGAGTATTCGTGTAGAGTTTGGTCCAGATCCATCGTTGTTTGAGTCCACAGTGATCTCTAGATGTAGGTGAACTACAACTCCAAAACCAAAGGACACTGCCCACCAAACCCTACCAATATGTTCTGTTGGTCATGGAGAACTGTGTGTCAAGTTTGGTCCAATTCTATTGTCGGTGGGGTTCAGAATGCTCTTTGATTGTAGGGGAATTATAAATCCCAGCAAATACAAGTCCCAAATTACAAAATCATTTTTTAGTGAAGGACATACATTGGGTTATTAGGTGTCTTGTGGCCAAATTTGGTGTCAATTTGTGCAGTGGTTTTTGAGTTCTGTTAATCCCACAAACGAACATTAAAATTTTATTGATATAGACTAGCTGTACCTGCCATGCATTGCTGTGGCCAACCTTCCCTCCCTCTTTCTCTCCTTCCTTCCTTCCCTTTTTTCTTTCCTTCTCTCCTTTCTCTTCCTTCTTCCTTCTCTTCTCTTCCCTTCCTCCCCTTTTCTTTCCCTTCCTCTTTCTTCCCTTTCTTCTTTCTCTACCTATTCTTGGACTGCATCTCCCAGCAGTCCTCCTGATCCTACCTACCTATCTATCTCTATCTAATCTATCTATCTGGAGGATTGCTGGGAGTTGCAGTCCAGGAATAGGAAATTGGAAATATGCAGGGATTGGGATGCTCTCAAAGAAATCCAAGGAGAAGAAAGCTTGCATCTTGGAAGCAGTGCATTTGGATCATCCTCCTCTCCTAAAGGGCCTGGTCTAGGGGATGCTGGGAGCTGTAGTCCAAAAGAGAGTGTGGATATGCTATTGTGTGTTTTGTTTGCCAGGGGGAGGTTTTGCGCATGCGCTGTAGTGTCTTTTTGCTTTTTTTGCTTTTTAAGTCCCTTCCGTTGTGTTTTTCAGTGGTTTTATGAGTGATGGTCACTCGTTGGCATGATCAATGTATTGTGTCCAATTCATCCAGTAGTTTTTGAGATATGTTAATCCCACAAATTAACATTACATTTTTATTTATATAGATCAAGAGCATTGCATAAATTAGTATAAAACTGATAAAAATGGAAGGAGCACAGGCGGTCAATTCATCCTCAGATAAAGGATATTCAACATATATTTATCTTTAGTATCAGAAACACTATGCCACTCAATACAAATTGCTATGAGAAGTCCATACCCTCTATGGACTTCCCATGGTTATCTGATTAGTCTGTGTATGAACAGAATACTGGATTCTATTGGCCTTTGCCTGGTCCCACATGAGTGTTCTTAGTTGCTGCTTGGGAAGGGTGGCATGTTTTAATAGCAGTGAAGGAACCACATACTGATCACTGTCACACTACATTTTTGTATAGACATCTGTCCTGGGTCACTTGCCCTCTTAGTATGAACTACAAGATTGGCGGTATTGCTGCCTCAGGAAATTGCACAGCTCTAAATTGAGCTCAGATCTGTGGAGAGGACCCTGCATTGCCAGTGGTTTATTGGTCTAAGTATTAGACTGTGAGTGGATCTTCCACAAGCATGAGAGTAATGATGCTACCTGTTATACCTGAATTCACCTTGCCAGGAAGAAAAACACCAACCTTTCACTAGTTGTGACTTGGCACCTTTTTCCTCAAACGGACTGCAATCTTGTGTCATGCCAAATTGGAAGGAGGGGTTACTTCCTGTTTCATGCAGTTACACAAGGATATGGGGTAGGGCTTATCTACATTATGCAACTTTACAGGTTGGGTGTCTCTTATCTGAAATGTTTGATGACAGAAGTGCTTTGGTTTTTATCAGATTTTGGAATACTTGTATAGTATATGAATTTATATACATTGTGGGATACCCTGGCGATGGGACCTAAGCCTAAACATTTGTTTGTTTCATATCTTATACAACATAGAGTCGTAGAGGTGGAACATAGCCTGAAGATAACAGTATTTGTAATAATTTTCTGCATGTAACAAAGTTTGTGTACGTAGAACCACCAGAAAGCAAAGTTGTCACTATCTTAGCCATCCATGTAGATAATTTTGGCGTATTTTGAATTCCTCAAAAAGGGATTCTCAACCTGTAAGAATTAACATATTCATGCTGTTGAAGTAATATACAGTTATTGACATGATTAGTAGCCAAAGATAGCCACAACTTTCATAACACCTCTGTAGATGTAATTGGGACTCTGCATTATTTATAAAAAAAGTTGCCATGTTCTTTGTTTGTTTGTTTTCAACACATGATGGGAGGCCTAGAGTTGAGTAAATAGAAATATTTTGTGGAATAAACAATCTGAGATTAACAACAAAGAGTCTGGTTTATGTGTGTGCCAAATCACTTGCAGAGATACTGACCAGGGATTGTTGTATATAGTTTAGAATAAAGTATCTATTTTATCTGAAGCAAACATTTGCCACATTTTGCATTTGATTTGTATCCTCATCAGTATTATTACTGATCAGTGTTATTTCCTAGTCAAAAGGTTAACTGATGTGAAATACTAGCTCTGGGACTTAGCACAGTACATATTGTATTATTGTGGACCTTAATTTATGAGATGTTAGATTCTTCAATAGCATAACCAATTTAATAATATGAAGAGATATCTGAAGGTAAGTTACATTGAGTACAGTAGCAGTTCCTCTTGAGTAATATATTAGAATGCATATTCATTTGTAAGATGTAACTAACTAAGATGTAACAAGTGTTTATTCAGCAAACTGAAATTTCAGCATTGTCTTTTGAAATGATATTGTTATTGTAACAGGAAAAAATATTAAAGGTTATGTTTTGTTACTCTTTGCCCTGAGTGCTTTCATGTATATTGTTGCTGGTTACTGCTTTGGCCAGCAGAGCTATAGCCATGTTAAATCTAAACTTTATTGAAGGAAGTATTTTAGAGAGAAAGTCTTCCTTGCACTGGGGTAATGCAGCGCCCAGAAAAGTAAACTTTGTTGATAGTTGTCTCAAGTCAACTTGAAGCTTCTTTTGCATTTGTCCTTCTCTGCTCAGCTCACACCCACACAATGAACTCCTCCCTCTCGTCTTTCTTCACTTATTCTCCCTTCTCTTGCTTCTGAAATGCAAAAATGTGCGTGTTTCTTGAAAAGCAGATTGGCAAAAGAGTTGACATTTTGCTCCATATCTCAGTTACTACAATCGTTAGCAACGTACATTTTTTTAAAGGAAAGTTTGAAATCTTGTCCAAGTGATGGTCCAAATCAGCACTGTGTGACATGCCTAGAATCTGGATAAAATCTGACTGAGCCAGAGGTGTGGCAGCCTGAGTTTCCAAACACAATTCAGAGTTCTCATTATGATCTATACAGCTTGTGTCAAAGCTATCTGAAGGACCATATTTTTCTATATGAGTCTTCACGGGAATGTTTTGAGGATAGGGTCATCTTTGTGCTGTGGACTTTCCTCTTATGGGAGGCTAGAATGGCCTTCTCTCTGTTCTGCATTCAGCAACAGCCAAATAAAGGCATTTAACTGGTGTTAGGGAAAGGTTATCTATTTCTTTTCTTTTTTCAAGACAACTTTCACTTCCAGAGAGCCCTGAGATTCCCACAAACAATTAATGTGGCCCAAACTTGGCATACGTTCACACCATGAACAACTTTAAGCAGGCATGTAGCCAGGGGAGGGGCTTGAGGGGCTTCAGCTCCCCCCCCCCAAATTCTCACGGTGGTCCGCGAGAAGGCATTACTGGTACATTATTTAAACTGTTATGTTTATTCATATCATGATCTGATCACCACGCTCAATATATTCCGTATGCATGGGGCTATTGGGATAATGATACAAAAGATTTGCTAGGGTAGATCCTCAGCCCCCTCCCCCAAATCAAACTCAGCACCCCCGAATCAAAATCCTGGCTACGGGCCTGACTTTAAGTACTGCTGGGTGTTTTAGGGGGGGGGGAGGTGGACCTGGGATGATGGGAGTTGCAGTTCACCCACATCCAGACACCACTGAAAACCCTACCAATGATGAATCTGGTCCAGTCCTGGCAAATGAGAACCCCCCCCCCATGACCAACAGAAAATTCTGTTTTTTTACTGGGATTATGGGAATTATAATCCTTCCACTTTCAGAGAGCACTGGGAAAGCAACCAATGATAGATCTGGATTAAACTTGCTACACATACCCACCACGACCAGCTTTACATACTGGTGGGTTTGGGGGGAGGGTTGACCCTGGATGATGGGAGTTGTAGTTTACCCATAATCACAGAGCATTGTGAACCCCACTGAGGATGGATCTGGATCAAACCTGATACACATACCCATCATGACTGACTTGGGATGATGAGAACAGTACTTTGCCCTTATGCATTTTCTAATGGGACCATTCATAAAATGATAATTTCTAACACTTATTACAAAATAACTAGTGTGGTACCTAAGCTAGTACCA